CGCAGCGCGGGCCCGTGAGGTCAACCCGCACCCCGCCCGGCTCCCCCCGGATCCGCGCGGATCCCGAGGGAAGCGGCTGCCGGCACCGGAGCGCCCCGAGCGGATCCCTCCTTGTCCCCAAGATGGGGGGTGACACGGGGAGGGACAAGAGCCAGGAGCCCCCCAGGGCAAAGCCAGAAGAGCCAGAGTTGGGGGGGGGACACCAAAAAAAGGCCCAAACAGGTAAAACGGCGCCCCGGAAACGGGCACAAGGAGCCGGGGGGCTCAGGAAGCCGAGCGGTCCCGGGATTCCGGGAACGTCGCGCTCCGAGTGCTGCTCTCCGCTGTCCAGAGCCACCCCCAGGGCACGGGCCCCCCCGGCAGCGGGATTCAGGCACAACACAGAAAACTGGGAGATTTGGGGCGTTTTCGGCATTACCCCAATAGCCTTTCACCTCTGCAGAGCTGGAGTCAAGGCCTGTTAAGATACAAGCGACAATGAGTCCGGGCCGCCTCGGAAAAGGGGATTTGGAGCCTCCAAAAAAGGGATTTTCCAGCCGTTCTGGCGCACCGAAATCCGCTAAATTCCATGGCCAATTTGGGAGCCGCCGGAAAGGGGCAGCGAAGGCGGCGCCGGCCGGGGCTCTCCGGGAGGAGGAGGATGGCGAGGAAGGAGAGCGGAGCGGCACCGGAGGCGTCGCGACCCGGAACGCGTTACCTGCCCGCCTGGATTTACGTTTTTAGCCCGGATTTGGGGTAAAAGGGGTCGGTTTGGAGCGCGCGCGGGAGCTTCCGTACCGCTGAATCCAGTGTTGCCATGAGACATCGGGAAGTGCGACTGTTGCATCGCCAACTGGTGCAGCTTGGTCAGCTGGAGGGGACAGAGAACACGGAGCGCGTCAGGCGCTTCCGGGCGGCCGGAATCGCGCGCGGCCACGCGGGAGCGCCGGGATGGAGCGGATACGGGAGCGGGGGGAACGTCTGCCCGAGGAGCCGTGAGGAGCAGGGAACGCCGGGAACGGAGCCGGGATGGGAACAGCCTTTCCCAAATCCTGGGATGGGCTCCCTGGAACAGCCTTTCCCAAATCCGCGGCTCCCTGGAGCATTCCCGGCCACGCTGGGGGGGACAAGGGATAAGGAAGGTGCCCGACAGCTCCCACGGGAGCACGGCCGGCGCTTCCCATTCCCGCAGGCTGGAATCGGCCCGCGCGGGATGCTCCCCGCTCCGCTTCCCTGCGGCCAGGGAACACGATCCCGATGTCCCCCCGCGCCCCCCCGCGCCCCCT